TTTATCAACAACAAGTAGGCCAGACATTAGTTATGCAGTGTCATACTTGAGTAGATTTTTAGATTGTCCTACTACAGAGACATGGAATGCTGGAAAAAGAATTTTAAGATATCTACAAGGAAGTAAGAAACTGGGATTAACTTATTATAAAAATACAGATTGCCAGATAACACTCAATGGATATTCAGATGCCGATTGGGCAACAGATAAGAAGGATAGGAAAAGTGTGAGTGGATGTATATTATTATATGGTAATAACCCAATATCATGGTTTTCAAAGAAACAAAACTGTGTGGCATTATCAACAGCTGAAGCTGAATACATTGCAGCAGCACAAACAGCTCAAGACTTAATCAATGTCAAGGGTATACTGGGAAATTTTAATGTAATTGTCAAAACAATTTTATACTGTGACAATAAAAGTACAATTTTAATGTCTAACAGTAATGAAAATTCGAAAAGAGCAAAACATATAGATATAAAAAATCATTTTTTAAAAGACTTAATTTCTAAGAAAGAAGTTGTAATGGATTATATATCAACTGAGCAAAATTTAGCTGATATTTTAACTAAATCTTTAGGTACCGAGACTTTCATAAATCTAAGAAATAAAATTTATGTTATATGAATTGTAATATCATTTTGTTAACTATAATAGTTACGATTTTCATGTTCGAACATTTCAAATCGAGGAGGAGTATTGGAATTTTGTACTTGGCAACACTGGCTCACAATGTCTTAAGTGATTCCGGTTGTCATATGTCAGTTGTAAAATATATTTTGTAGAATGTAGCACATGTTTAGTTTTTAGTACTTTTGTAAAATAAAGTAATCAAATAATTCACTGCTATCTCTGTATTACCTCACTGGGAAACAACAAATTCTAATAATATATATATATATATATATATATATATATATATATATATATATATATATATATATATATATATATATATGTCATAACACAAATAATGGTTGGCTATTTGCATTTTATATATATTTATATAAGTACCTCTAATCCATAGAATCTAAAATTAATTTTTTTTAAATATTGCACTCTGCATATTTTTATTAAATATTTTTCTATATACCACATGGGAGAAGATATAATCTTCAACATAACATCCAGTTTTATTCCTACTTTCTTAAGAAAAATTTAATTTACAATTTTTTAATACAATTAGGTACTTTACTTTTTTCTAAAAACACACAGAAACTTTTGTCTGTGGGGCCCCATTAAGTTGATCAAACATGCACACTTACAAATTTTTATTTCCTTATCACAAATACTTTACAAGTTCACATATATTTATTTTAAACAGAATTTGAATCCAAATTGCCTCCAGTATTTTTAAACCTATAAACATTCTTGGTACTAGTACATATGTTCCTCCCCCCTTTTTTGTCATGTATTACATCCTCTTGTGATTACAACACAATCTTTTTTCTTCAACAACAAATACAATTTTTTATTCTATACCATTTAAAACAATAATTTAAAATTTAATTCTAAATAACACCCTTAATGCGCATATACTACCTAATTATTTTTTAAAAAACTACTTATCACCAGTCTTGAAGGTTTTGTCAATTCAAAACAATTTTTACTTCCTCCTGTCAAAAGTTTATTGTTACCTTTCAGGGCGTAAGGTGCCTTTTTCGAACTAGGAAATTATATGTTCCCTTAAAAAATGTAATCCTTCATCATCGACATAGTGTCTTAATAATTATAATGTTCGTTACTTAAATTATGTAAGTTAAGGGTTATCTGACCTCATTATGTGGCTAGTTCTAACCAGTTTATAGACGTGTATTAACAACATTTTCAATTTAATGTCTACTTGAAGTTAGCCAACACAAAGAATATCCAGTACGTCTTTACTGACTACAAATTTTACAAAAATGATCCTGTCGCTATTTGTTATATCTTCTCTACATTTATCATTACTCATCAATAATTGCACCAATTTCATTCCAAGTATTTTTTCGTAAATGACACAACTTCTACTCTTTACCTAGTTACTGCGCTCTTTGTCCTTTATATTTCGTTTCTTGTATGTAACCAATTTAAATTTTAAATATAGGTATATCATTTTACACTAGAAGTTTTTCACTTCACTGTAAGTTTATTTAAACTATGGTATACAGCTAATCATATAAAGCTTTTCTTTCATTCTTATTGAGTCCTACTTGAAGGGCGTACACACAAACAACATTCAGTACGTCTTCACTAATTAAAAATTTCACAAAAATGATTCTGTCACTCGTTCTCCTCCCTACATTTATCATTACTCGATCAAGAATTACACCAACTTCATTCCAAGTTTTCTTCACAAATACCACAACTTATACTCTTTACCTAGTTTCTTTGCCCTTTGTCCTTTACCTTTCGTCTCTCATACGTAAACAATTTGGACTACTTACAATGAAGTAAAAACTTCTGGTGTAAAATGGTATATATTTATTAAAACAATTTAAATTATCCAAAAAGGATTAGAAGTTTCAGAACGTTTTCAGACCTATCGGACCATAATAAGTGTACACATCTAAAGTACAAATGAAACTAGCGAGATGACGAGATCAAATGACGCTGATGTTATATATTTAAAGTATTCTTCTTCTTCCTTTGCACTATCCGTTTCGGACGTTGGCTATATTCAAGGCTATTTTGACTTTGTTTACGGCACCTCTGAACAGTTCTGTCGATGTTAGTCCAAACCATTGTCGCAGGTTATGCATCCATGAGTGTCGTCTTCTTCCCGGTCCCCTCCTACTGTCGATTCTTCCTTGGACTATTAACTGTAGCAGCCGGTACTTAGTATGCCTCATGACATGTCCGAAGTACTCAAGCTTCCGTTTCTTTACGGTGAAGATTATTTCTTTGCTTTTGCCTATTCTCTGCATTACTTCCACGTTAGTGATGTGGTCTGTCCAGGATATCCGAAGAATACGGCGATATATCCACAGCTCAAAGAATTCTAGTTTCTTCAGGGTGGCTTCCGTTGTGGTCCATGCCTCTGCTCCATAGAACAAGACCGGGAAGACATAACACTTAACCAGTCTTAATTTTAGTTCCATTAAGATTTTGCTTGTAAACCACTTTTTCACATTGTTGAACGCGTTTCGCGCTTTTTCAATTCGTGATCTTATTTCTGTTGACTGGTCCCATTTTGTGTTGACTGTGGTTCCAAGGTATGTGTATGTCTCCACTTGTTCTGTTTTTCGGTTGTTTAATGTCAATTGCATCGGAGGTTGTTGGGTTCTGCTGATGAGCATGCATTTAGTTTTGGTTGTATTGAGTTCTAAACCATATTCTTGACTTGCTGTGTGTATGCTTTGCATAAGTCTTTGAAGCTCGTTGCAGTCATTTGCGATAATATCTGTGTCGTCAGCATATCTAATATTATTGATTACCTCTCCGTTTACTTTGATACCTTCCGAAACTTCTCCCAGTGCTTCTCTGAAGATTTGTTCAGAGTATATATTGAACAGGAGCGGCGAGAGGACGCATCCCTGTCGTACACCCTTTTTAATATCTATCTTCCCTATGTGTTAGTTACCCATCTTTATCTCAGCACTTTGGTTCCAATAGAGACTGGTTATTATGCGCAGATCCTTGCCATCAATATGCATCTTCCTGAGCATTTCCATGAGTTTATCATGTTTGACTTGTCAAACGCCTTGGAGAAGTCGATGAAGCACAATTGGACGTCCTTGTGCATGTCTCTGCATCTTTGAATTAAAACTTGCAGACTGAAGATCGCCTCTCTTTTGCCCAATGCGCTTCGGAATCCGAACTGTGACTCCGATATATTTGCTTCGCATTTTTTATATATTCTATTGTGTATGATTTTGGTGAAATCTTTGGTAATGTGATTTATCAAGCTTATTAAGCGGTGTTGATTACAGAATCTCCCCTTTGTCGTAAAAGGTGTTAAAAAGGCCTGTCCGAAAATCGAGGAAGTGGTCATCCGTTTCGCATAGGAGTTTTATGATCTCGCCGTGTATGTTGTCGGGACCTGGTGTTTTGTCGTTTTTAGCGATGAAATGGCTTTTTCCACTTCAGACCTTAATATTTCGGGTCCAGTCATGTCGTCATCTTGGTCCACTGTCGCTAGCGTTTATCGTTAAAAAGTTTAAAGTATTAAATTTTAATAATGTACTGAGTGTGGGCCGATGTTAAAAGATTTCGTTTTTAAGGGAACATACATATCTCAGCTTGAAAAAATAGACGTTGTCCAATCGATTGAAACCAGCCAACTCTGGTTATCCTCTTATATTCTACTAGAATGTAGGTAAAGTATTCTTTGTTAGCTATGGCTTCCTTTCTTTTTTTTTTGGTGTGATCCTTCTTATTTTTATCACCTCTTCCACTGCTTCTGACTGAATTGATTGCATCCAAAAATGTAATGTTCTGAGTCATCCTCCATCTGACACATTTTGCACTTGTCGTAATTTGTCTTTTTAATTTTATAGGTATATTTTTTCTGCTTTCCTCCCTGATGTTCTTTATGTCCCACCTTCACTTATTGCATATAGTCACCCTCTCCTTTACCATTAAATGGATTGGTACAATTGCTCTTAATTGTAAAGCTATTGTTGAAGTTGTCCTATTTGCGCCTACCACCCTTAGTATTGGTTTCCTTTGCTCTCTGTAATCATTTTCATGTACAATTTTAATTTAATACTTACTCTCAGACTGGAACCACATATAGAACTATATACTGTACTATTTCTAAATATATATTCCTTCTGTATGAACTAGGCACATAATGATGATAGCCAGATCATCTTCAAAAGCGACTGTTTTTACCCCTTTCCCAAATTTTAACTCCAACTCCAATATTGCATATAATTTTTCACAGTATTGGTTCCTACACCAATCCCTGAAGAACTCTTGACGTTGTGACGACTTTTTTATTTGCAGATACTTTGAGAGTTTTCTATTCATTTCAACATATACTCCCGTGATATACTCAATTTCTAATAATTTTTAGCTTTAGTGGACGGCAAGGCCACTCATATACCCTACAGAAATTCCAAACTCACACGCTTACTACAAGACTCTTTAGGAGGAAACTCCTTAACAGCAATGATAGCTATGGTAAGCCCTAGAGTACAAGATTGTGAAGAAAGTATGTACACCCTGATGTATGCCGACCGAGTCAAGCATATTCAAAATCATGTTACTATAAACATAGAATCCAAAAGTGTCATAGAAACATTTGAAACAAAAATTGCAGAGTTAAGACATCAACTGTTACTTTTAGAAGCCAGAGAAGAGAAATTAGAAAAGAAAGAAAGGAAAAGGAACAAAACTTCTCCCCACAGTAGTGAATTGGAAGAAATAGAACTGGAAAAATGTTCCCTGCAAAATCAAATAAACATTATTCAAAAAAAGATCCTTATAGGCGGAGAAAATCTTATTGAAAAAGCTCAACAACAAATGGAACTACTGGATAATTCATTTAAAGAAATTCAACACTTAGATCACTCACATTCTCTTCTTAAAGAGATACTTTTTTACAAGGAAAAAGAAAAGACATTGGTACAAAAAGAATACGCAGATCTGCAAGAGGAAGATAAAGTTCTAAATGAAAAGATAGAAGAAACAGAAAAACTCATTAATAAGGCCGTACAGATTCTCCACACCAAAGAACAAGAGTACCAGAATGAAATTTGTTCTCTTCTACACACAAACAAGTCCCTGGCAAAGGAACTTTCCTTGGTACAATTTATTATTAAAGAAAGTGTTCCAAAAAACTACCTAGATGAACTTAAAAGTGGTATTGTTTGGGACAACGACAACCAAGATTGGCAAGTTAAGGGAATTGCATATTGTGGAAATAGCCTAAGAAGAACCAGAAGTTGTGGAATAGTTGAAAGTAGCAATCCAAGAGCAGTATATCTGAATTATAGAAGAAAAAGTAAATCAAAGACGAGATATTAATATTTCTGATATACAGATAGTCTATTTTATCTATTTTATATATAGCATATTTGTTTTAATAAATATAAACAGTGTTTGATCGTTTGTTTAAAATATCACTTATTAAAGCAAGTATTATAGAAGAAACTGATTTTTTGTACTAACATTACAGCAAAATTATTCTAAACATAAGTCAAAAAGTCGAAGATAATATTATTGCAGATAGAAGTTAACAGCAGTTTAGAATAGTACATTGTAAAATCCCATTTGGCTCAATTTCACTAATATTTATAGTGCTTGTCAGCAAAAAAGTTTATGATAGATACTCTCTCGAAACTTTGGGTATCGCTTCATTAGGCCGAGTCTGACACCATTTCGACTTAAAAAAAAGAGGTTAAATCTTTGTGAATGGGTATATTTAAAAGCCCTTAAAAGGGCTACATAAAATAACACGAACGTTTTCGGAATAATAATTCCATCATCAGGTTAAAAATGCAGGTTAACATGCTGGAGCCAAAAAATATTAGGGTAAAAACCCTTTAAAATACATACCTAAGGTTAACAAAGATTGTACATAATGTTGTTATTTATATTTGATGTTTAATATTTAATTTAATTTAAATTTAGATAAACATACACCCATGCCTTAAGTGAGTTCCAGCGTCCGGAGAGTAAACGTCTTCCTTCCTCTTCCTTAGAAGAGGTTTACTCTCCGGCCGCTGGAACTCACTTAAGGAATGGGTGTATGTTACCTAAAGTAAAATATAATTAAATATTAAACATCAAATATTAATAACAACATTATGTACAATCTTTGTTAACCTTATGTATTTTAAAGGGTTTTAACCCTAATATTTTGGTGGCTCAGTCATGTTAACCTGCATTTTTAACCTGCTGATGATGGAATTCCGCAAACGTTCGTGTTATTTGATGTAGGCCTTTTAAGGGTTTTTTAAATATACTCATTTACAAAGATTTAACCTCTTTTTTGTGATACGTGGTATACAGCCAGCTGCAGGAATTATTTTCCTTGTGGATTTTACTTTTTTTTGGTTCTGAGGCGTTTTCCTCTAAATTAACCGAAAATTTTCACCCGTTATACAGGAAAATCAAAAAACAAGTTCCGTCAGACAATATATTCTTTTAATTAAATAGCTTAAAAAATATAAGAAAAATATGAAAATATAATTGTCTGATGATAAATATAGGTCTTTTAAGGCATCTACGACCTCGAACATGTCGGAATAACTACTGTGACGAAATTCATAGATAACCAGCTAATTTTTTTCAGGATACTTTCATTAACAGCAGTAAAAACAACTTTTTCATATTGTCCGAAGAACATTGTTTACCGATTTTCCTGTCTGACGTGTTTCAACATTAGCTACGAAAACTTTAAAAATAATAACTCTTAAAGGAACGCGTAGGGTGGTAAAAGTCTCGTCGGCTGAAAGAGGCACCAATGTTAGTTTTGTTTATAGCATGAATGCAAATGTGTCGTTTGTTGCACCATAAGATAAGACGTGGTCTTGTTGTCATTATATTTTTTAGATGCATTTCTTTCATAACATTGTTTTTGGTCTTTTTTAGAAGTATCTCTTACATTTATTACATACGTACATCTTACCCACATTAGTTCGTCATCTTAACTGCACGACTACATGTGTGGGCAAAGATATGCTCACTTGCTGCTCTAATTTTAATTGACTTTGCGCATGTCGTCATAGCGAGACAAAACCAGGGGACTTGTATGTATAATATTTTAACGATGCATCATACGGCAACGTTGCTCCATTACTGTAATAAACAACTTCAAAACTTAAACTGTTAACGGTAAGTATACCTCGATGCCATATCTTGCACTAAGAAGTCATAACTAGTTACTTTCTGTGAAAACGTGTTTTGAAAATTAATAAGTAATTTGTAAAATTAATTAAAGAAAAATATGAATCTACGATTTGATTGTGTGTATTATAAATAAAATAAATATTGCTACAAAACGTAAATTAAATATAAAAGGCCGTCAAAATGTAAAGAATTTGACCACAAAGGAAAAGATGGTCAAACTTGAGGCTTTATGAATATCATTTAGACATTTATTTTACAATCTTTGTGCTTTTTATTTTGCGGTATTGTAATTATCTTTAATATTTTGATTTATAATTCGTATTTTAAAATACATTTTACATTTAAAAAATAAGTAATTTTTTCTACTCTCTTACTAGTAAATTGTATATTACCTACTATTTGGATGCTAAGTAAATGTATCATAACAGATACTGACACTTAATGACTAGTACGTAATAAAAAAAATACGCTTCAGTTTTATAAAAATGTGTAATATCACATAAGCCTCGTAAGTCAGTTTGGTCGAGTTACCATGGAAACGAATTAACAGACGTTATTTTGACATATTAAAAATAATTAATCTGTCAGTGTAAATATAGTGGAATTTAATTTTTATTTTTATAAACGAAAATAATCGTAGAAAAAGTATAGTAGACAACTTGAGTTGTAAGCTTATTACATGCTTGTAAAATTACTGCGCTCGCCGCTACGCGGCTCTCGCGCAACTTTTTTACTCGCATGTAATAAGCGTCTTACAACTCTCGTTATGTAATATACGATTACATCTTCGCTAACATTTACATATTTTGCAGCTTCTATTAAGTTTTTTAAATAATTTTTTGTTATTTTTAATGTGTCGCCATTATAACGTCTGTGATTATAACTACGAAAAATATGTTCCAGTTCACTACATACTACATACACCCAAAGTAACTTTTTTTAAAGACCTATCAAAAATAACAAAAATATGTCAAAATTGAATTCTAAGTGTAATGTTCACCAACTTATATTACCAACAACCACTCTTACCCCTATAAATGTTTATGTGCATAATTATTACATTAATAACCAATTACTAGTGCATCCATCCATGATACCACAGAATATTCTACATATATTCTTTCATTTTTTCAACCCATGATTAAAACAGGAATTCAAAACTCAGCAATGGCAAAATGGCACTTTGCCATTGGACAGACAGACCACGGCGGTATTGTTTCAAGCTTCTTTCAGAAAACAGCTTTTTTAAAGTTCATTTTATCTTACTTTAAACTTTCAAAAACCACTCTCACAAAATTCCTTGTAAATTTATGATTTTATGATGAAACAAGTAAAATTTAAACCCCCTCTGTGGCTCAGTGGTAAGTGCGCCTACTTTTGAACCTAAAGGTTGTGAGTTCGAATCTCACCTGGGTGGAGAAATTTTCGTTTATTAAAAATTAATAAACGAAAATAATTTCTATCCTTGTGCGATCGGTACTCACCGGAGGGACCGCAGACGTTCGGATACAATTAGCGTCTCTTAGCAAAGACAATGACGTCGACTTTGCTAAGTATCAAGACAATTAGAATTAGAATTTCTACTCTACACCTACACACACACACACTACACTAGGTAAATTACTGTAAAAATTCACTGTACCATGCCAAGGACCATTAGTTGTCGACACATTAAATTTTAAATGTTTACAATTTTTGCCCCCATATTTGTTTTACCTAGCCCTAGCGGTCAACATTCGCACTAAACTCTTAAAAATCGGCTTCACTTATTGTCCATGAGGTCTATATGGTCTATATTATTTCATAAAGCCATTGATTATTACTACATCTGTGGCGAAGACAATTATTGTGAAAAATCCAGTAAAAGAATAATATTGCCAACTCCCATATTCTCAAATACTCTCATTTCAGATTTTACTAGTTCTTAAAATAGTGTTTTTAGTGTTAAAACATATTCTTTTTATTTTTACTGCCATATGCTTTAGATAACATACAACAAATTATATATAAATATTCTTGGTAAATTATTTTCTAATATTTAAACATCTTAAGATTTTGTTGTATGACGTCAGGATAAGTTAGAGAATTTACTAAAAAACTCCTTATCGTTAGTTCTCTCCAATGACGTATAATATATAGACTCGGTGAACGCTTTAAAAAGTGTCCAAAACATGAATACCTTTGTTATTGTTTATTGTTTTGATACGAAGATGCACGAAGTTCATGATTTCTTACGAAGCATCACGAAGTTGATCTTGTGTTTGAAAACATCATGGACGTACTCCATTTTGTGTGACAAGCAAATTTTATTTTAAATTGTTGATAGTTATTTACTTACTATTTTAGTAAAATGCCATACTATTTTATCAAAATAATTATTTCTCTTATAGACGGGAACAAAAAGAAATCATAAATATTTAATTTTAATTAAAAAAATAATTATTGTCATTAACTTATAAATGAGCACGCCGCTGTTGTAATAAACATACCTTCAACCTTCAGCCGAGATCTTTCGGACACTCGATTCTATAGCGAGAATAGGGGACTGCGTAGTCTATATATTATACGTCATTGGTTCTCTCATCAAGATCAAGCTGACAATGACAGTGACGTTTAGATTTTCAAAACATTTTATTATTGATTTAGCATGATTTCACAGTAAATTTCCTAAATAATTAGTGTACCTACATTTTTTAAAAATGCTTGAGGCAAAAGATTCTAATCCAGATACAGTGGAAAATGTTCGTGTGTTTATCAGGATACGCCCACTAAAGGACAAAGAAAAATCTTCAGAAACCCAAAAGACTCTTCATTCAGACAATAACACAATATCTTTAAATAAAAATGGATTGATGAAAACCTTTACTTTTTGCAAAGTATTTGACGAGGTCAGTCAGCAAATAGACCTGTATAGACATGTTTCAGTGCCTATTGTGGAACAAGTTCTTAAAGGCTACAATGGAACAATATTTGCTTATGGTCAATCAGGAACAGGAAAGACTTATACCATGGTTGGTGATATTACGGATAATAATCGCAAAGGAATTGTTCCTAATATATTTTCTCACATTTTTGCACAAATAACTCTAGCGAATCATGAATATTCCTATGCTGTCACTGTTACTTATTTAGAAATATATAATGAAGAGATTCGAGATCTTTTATCAGACCAACCAAAGAAACTTACATTAAAAGAAAAACCTGGAATTGGTGTATATGTCAAAGATCTTCTTGGGTTTACAGTAGATTCCCTAGAAGGTGTTACAGAAATTCTTAAAAAAGGCAACAAAAACCGAGCTACTAGTTTTACCCAACTAAATGATGTTAGTTCCAGATCTCATGCAGTTTTTACAGTATTAATTGAAACTAAAAACCATACTACCAATAAAACAACATTTGGAAAACTTAATTTAGTAGATCTGGCAGGTTCTGAAAGAGTACACAAAAGTTTAGCTACAGGAGATAGACTGAGAGAGGCAGGGAAAATTAATTTGTCCTTGTCAGTACTTGGGAATGTTATATCAGGTAAGTAATAATTAATATGTTTTATGTGATAGAGGAAGCTTAGTAAGATTTGTGCTGATTATAATGTTACATATTTCTTTAAAGGATATATAATAGTAATGTTGATCTCAAGTAATCTCAAGTGTTGGATATATTGCATTTTAAGATCATTATGACATTTAACTATATAATACTTATATATAATAAGTAGTATTAGTACTTAGTAGGACAATAAATAAAATAGCTAAGACCCTCACATTCTGGGCATACTTATCTAGTAAGTATAACAGGCTATTAGGCACACTCTCAACCATGTTGTTCAACCTAGTTCTCAAAGCCATCATCCAAAAATTCACTGTAATTAGTAATATAAATACCAAGTCAGAAAAAATTACTTCATATACAGATGATGTAGTTGTGATTAGATTAGCATAAGCAACATCTTCAGGAAGTGTTAGTGAATAGTGATGAGAAGGCCATGAATGAACTGTTCACAAATATCTGATCTTTTCGAAGGGATGTAGTTGATAAAATCACATGCTGTGACCCCACCCTTCAAATGACCCTATGAATCATGCCTATAAATGACATTGTCTAGCGTTTATGAAAGAACTGTGTGATCTCGACATGTTGTTCGGTCAAATTAATGCATGAACCACTAACCACAAAGGATCATTCAAACACTGATTTAGTTTCCCATAACAGCAAAACCCACTCTACAAAACTGTAAAATTATATACATTTGAATTGTTGAATCAATAGTCCCATAGTCTGTTTAACAATATGTTCATAACAATATGAAATTTGTAATTTTACTTTTTCAAGTACTTTTTTTATATTTATACAAATCTTAATTTCAGCCTTAAACTATATTTCATTCTTAAATTTATAGTAACAATATCGAATTCTACATGTAAACAACAATATAATTAAAGTTGTTCTAATAAAAGAATCTCTGTTGAGCGGGTCCTGCATTATCATTAATTCATATACTCTCAGAAAGATTCATAAACATATCAATATTAAACTCTTCTACTAAACTACTAAACTAATACTTGACCTTCACACAACAAATTTAATTTGTCGTTATATGAACGGATCTTTATGAACAGGTCATTTTAATGAATGACCTGGAAGAGCCGGATCACTGAAACGAACCAGGTCTTCCCATCACTATTAGTGAACAATAATCCTGAAGCACAAAAAAGACAACTTAAAGTGAATGAAACAAAAACCAAATACATGACAGTCACTGAAAATGAATTTCGCATCAAAGTATAGTAGAGTACAACCTACAATAATACCTTTGAATGTGAGGATACCTTGACTTACTCTATACTTTACAGAAATCATCAAAGTGAACTCCATATGTAACAAAATAGATGCATGTATTGCTAGTGGAAACTGTACAAACTATGCCAATGCCAATACCTAATTAGACCATTACTTACTGGATGTGAGACATGGGTTATGATAAAAAAAGATAAAGAACAAAAAAAGATGAAGGATATGAGAAAGAAGGATATTGAGAAAGGTATCTATGGTTTGTTTTTTAACCAGGAGAAATAAACTAAAAAGACAGAAGAAAGTTAATAGAAAAGTCACCAAATACATCTTCTTTTTTGGTTGATTACCTAGGTCTTGCTGTAATGAAGTAATCAATATCAGACAATCTCACATCTACGTGATTCTAACTCGATTCTAACCTAACTTTGCTTGTTTATGTTTGAATTATATTTTTTCCAATTCACTTCCAATATATATATTTTTTGTTTTTCTAATTACAATAAAAAAATGAAGAATTATTATGAAGAGGTTGAAGAATTTTTAGAGTTTATTTAACACATAGTAGAAGAAAATCATCTTCATATCATTATTTATGTTATATAATATATATTTAAATACCAGGTGATCCAGTTTTATAGATCTCTTGAGTCTATGGTATTTAATTATAATTTAGAGACTATTTTGATCAGGAGAGTCAATAATATTACAGATCTAAGTATGGTTTTTCACAGAAATTTGTCTTTTAATTTGCAAATGGATCTTATATGCAACAAAGCTATGAAATGGCTTGGTTTCATTAAAAGACATAAGTAACAGAGATTTTTGTAGGATTACATCTCTAAAATCTTACACTTTTATCTGCTCTCAAATTGAAAATTCAACTCTGTTTTGTTTTCCATTTACTCAAGCATGTATCAAAAAGTTAGAGAAAGTACAAAGACCTCTGAAATACTGTTCTTTAAAAACTGCACATATTCTTATTTTGGTGTGATCAATTTCTTGAATCTAGATTTTTTCTTACCAGAAGAGTTAATTTTGACTTGATCATTATTTTGAAGCTTAATAATCTTTGTATAAATAACTTTCTACACTGGTATGGTTCCAAAAACATGTCACACAAAGACTGTTGTTTTTATGCCTATAAATAGGAAAAATATTTTGATCAAACAAGAAGGGTGCAATTACAATCATTTCTCATGTGGCTCATAAATTTTAATTACAAAAACTATTTAGTAGTAAGTAACAATAATATATCCGATTATAAAAATGAAACCTTTAAAATGTTTTAGATAATTTTACTATATAATTGTGGCTTTACTTACTTAAAATTGATTTGCTCCAAGAATTTATATAATAATGAATGACACATATTTGGAAGATCTGGGCGGTTGTTAATTTCACTTAAAATTTTATTTAAAGTGGGGATTTCATTCTTGAAAAAGAATCTGTGTACAATCTGTTGTATAGATGTTTTACCTTTTCATCATATGCAATTGACTGCCAATATTTTTAGGACATCTTACTGTCTGCTTCAATATTCTTCCATGGCTTCCAGAAATCTATAACACATGATTCTTGAAGTGATTAATTTATGAGAAAAATAAATAAAAAAGCAAGAAAACTGAATTGAAAAAAAATATTATTTTAACAATTTTATTACAAACATTTAGAATAAACATTTCACGACCAAAAATTTTTACAATAATTATTTAGAATGACTGCCATTCACTTCCACACAATACTACAATCTATTTTGAAATTCTTTTCCGACATTGATTAATACATCTGCATTTAATTGCCGATATTCATCCCCTATCCTTTGTTGTAAATCATCCAGAGATTCTGGTTGAGTAGGATACATTTTTGTTTTTAAATACCCCAATAAGAAGAAGTCTAGGGGTGTTAAATCCGGTGACCTAGGTGGCCAATCCATAATTTGTCCTCTTTTACCTATCCCAGGGTAGGACAAGTTTCATTTAGTCGCAAAGGTCGATATTCCAGTAAAATTTTTCTATCTTTGGTAAAGTTAATTTTGTTAACTGTGCATAATTCTCAATTGTGTTAATTTTCTATAATTGCTCACAGTTTGTATCAAACATCATATTCTATAATTTATAATGTCTGATACTAAATAAGACTTACAGTTCTTACTAATCTGTTTTAAACAGACAAGACAATACTATATCAACAGCGTTGATATCTGTAAAGACTTACATATATTTATTCAGTATCTCTCAATATATAAACGATTCTATTTCAATAAAAAAATGTCAAAATGCATGAAAGCATGCCTTTACAAGGAAAACAGAAGAATTTATAAAGAAGCTATCAATATCTCCACAAGGAAAATAAAATTCTTGTAGTTGGCTGTATACCATAAATCAGAAAAGTGTTATTTAAAAATACTTTGTAAAAGGTATATAATTAAAAAGACCCTTTTGTGCTACATGACAACAGACCGTTTTCGGAATAACAAATCCATCATCAGTGCATTTACCAGGTGTACATGAGTCAAACCATTAAATATTTGGGTAAAAACCCTTACAATGGTACAAAATTTGTTATTATTAATTGACACTAATAAATTACACAGCTTGAAATGCATATAATTTAAAGAAAATTCCAATCTCCTTGTTAATTTTTTACCAAGATATTCTTTAGACAAAATACTTTGTTCTAGAACTAACTGATATCATTAGTTATAATTGAATTTTTTTATTAGGTGTTTAGAAAATAAGTGCATGGGGTTCACTAGTTGATAACAAGTGTTCTGATAAATGACATGTAAAGTTATAGTAGTTGACATCATAATAGAAATTTTATTTTTCAGTTAACGTTATTTATTTAGACAAATTTTAGACATATAAATAAAAATGGTTATTATATTTCAAATACATTTTTAAAGGAGAGTAAATTATCATGATTTATTAGATTTCCTGACATGAATACTTAAATTAATATAAAAATATGAAGAATAACCACAGAATAAACACAAAGCACACTAAGTCTACATATTATATTCGCTAAAGTCAAAGTTAAAAATATATTTGTTCTCTTCTATCTAACTTAGATTGCGGTAACTTAATATTATATCATTTGCTGAAATTTGTGATTTGTCTTCTACTATAGGACACTTAAATTTTCCATCCTCTTCGTGCTTGAGGAAGGAATTCTCATAATCGGCATCATCTGAATTGTCCTCGTCATCAGAAATATTGATTATCTGGCCAACAAAATATTTATTTCTTTTCTTACCCAAAAACTTAACAAGCACAAAATCATTCATGCTGAATTTATTTCTTTATTAATTGGTCGTTATTGAATGATACATGCTCAGAGTTTAACTCTATCTCACTTATTATTAACTCAAAACTAATATCATCTGTGGGGAACTAGATTCCACCCATTCTTAATCTGAATAACTGCTAGAACTTTCAACCTTCTTTTTTTCTTTGTTCTTTTTGTTTATTTTTTAATGCCTCTGTCTCTACTTTTTTAGTTTTCTGTTTTCGGCAGCGTTTATTTTCTACCTTTCCTTTTCTTCTTTTTGTTTTTCTTTGTTTCTTAAATACCGTTAAATAAGGAATAGAGATTTGTCTTGTTCTTGACCATTCCAATCTTCATGACAATTTTTAAATACCAACAATTTTTCCTCACCTATTTAATTTTCCAGGAAAGCAAGACCAATCTTCATTATTTAATGTTTTAGTTATTGACTGTATTGAAAGATTTTCTAAGTCATTTTGAATTTCGTGACAATTGTCTTTCACTTTTGAGTAGTATATAGCATTTTTATCCCGAGGCATTAAACCACTTTTTCTGAAGGCGTTTTTCATAATTTGTTTCTCAAAATTTTTAAGAGTTTTAAGTATATTATGTATACGAGAGGTGCAAAATCAACTTTTCTTAAATTAGGTGATTGCATATTATCTACACGCCACTGGTGAACTATTGCTTTCCACCTAGTTTTCACAGGCTTAAAAAATCCTATGTCAAGTGGCTGGAGAATATGAATTAGAGTGTAATGCTATGAGTATTATTCCATTTTTACCTCAAAATTCACTGGCATGCAGTGTTAAATGACTAGTATGACCATCAATAAATAATACAACAGGTGTCTGTATGTTTTATGTTTGTAGCCAAGGATGAAAAATATTTGCTACGTATTTGAAGAATAGCTCTGCATTCATCCAGGCATTACCAGATTTGACCATAGACCAACCTTTTGGCACTTTATAGGCAACATCTGTGGGGATTTTTTATATTTATATACATACAATCATAGCAGGAGCAAAATTAGTATCAGCGTTTGTAGTTATCAAAACAGTCATGCATTCTTTTTCATCAGCATTAACATGTTGGTAAACACTTGTTTCACCTTTACGAACCAGTAGCTTTTCGCCTTTTGGGTGCAGAAATAATGCAGTCTCATCTGCATTAAAAACTCGTGAAGGATTTTTTAGTATCTAAAGTTGATCTTTGTTTGACAGATAATTTGTTATTTCATCAAACCAATTTATTAGGTCGTGCTTAGTTACTAAGGCTCTGGAAGCTATTCAATTTTGTGCTACTCGTTCTTTTAAACAAGGATGTCTTCTCAAAAAACTTTCATACCATGCACGGCCAGGGCGGTTAGCAACAAATGGAGTGTGTCTTTTCATTCGTTTGATTAAAATTTGTAGACTATCTAGCAGCTGTCTTTTTGTTACTGGAAATTTTGCTTCCGCTGAGTTTAATATCCATTGTACAAGCAAGTTTTCTTCATCGGATGTCAGAATAGTGTTGGGCCTTATTCTTCTAGAAATAGGAGTTTTTCCCTTTAACTTGTACAGAAGAGTTACTGTGGGAACCTGATGTCTTCTTGCTGCAGAGGTTATTGGCATCCCAAGGCGAACATCCTGTATTGCAGCTGTCATAGCTTCTTCAGGATAAGCTAACATTTTCCCTTTCGCAGGAGGTATTTTTACCTACAAAAAAAACCGTGATGTTATAGTTGACATATTGTGTTGCAATAATTGACATGCTGTGTCAACTACTGGTTCGGACAAGGGTAGAATAATAATAAAAATACACAAAAAATGCTAATTACTAACTAAAAAGAACAGATATCTACTTTCCTAGATCTGTGTGTCTTCTCCAGTAGTTGACACTACTGTCAAGTATTGGTGTAACGGCCAAAATTTGCTTTAGTAGTTGACACACTACAAATAATTTTAAGGTTTACCCCTAGAAGATTTTCAAAAGGCCAAACACGTTAAATAACAACCTCCCGTATTATTAAAATTATTAGAATTTAATACCACGAAAATAAAATAAGTTTATTCATATAAAAAAGTTTACTTACATATTTATTTTCTACTTGAATTCCTCAAAAAATAGTAGTCTCTATAACATGTTTTACCATAAGATACACAATTTCCAAATGACTGACACTAATGTTGCCAACTTCACATATAAGTAGATTTAAACCACAGACTACAACCATCTGTTGACTGGAGCTTTGTAACTCACACCAATTTGTTTTAAAATGAAAACAAAACTAATGATGTCAACTACTGGTACACTGTCAACAATACTCACATTTACCTTTGGTGTGATGTTAACATATCTTTTTAACATATACCCTGCATGGCAATGCAAGGCTTTTAATTTGGGCGTTGCTCTCTCTGTATGAGCTCTAGATGGCAACTTCTAGGTTGATAATTGCGGTAAACGGCAATGCACTATACCCCACAGAGGGCGCTGGAACGTTTTGACACGAAATTATGAACGAAGATGGGATACTTGTGAGATAGACCTCCTATGAAGAAAATATTCTAAAACTTACTCCATACAACTGCTTATATATGTGTTATCTGATCAACATTACTTAGAGTATCTGGAGACTAAAAGGTATAAACAAAAATCTAACGCTCAGTACAGCTGTACAGCGTACTCTTTAATGGACTGTATTCTTTCTGCAGTGCTTTTTCCATAACTTTTTATTTCAAAATCAAGATATTGTTCTTAACAGATTAAGATCACTACACTTTTAATATGCCTGTATCATCGAATTTTTCAAGAACTTTTTTACTACTTTTGAAGATCTTTTAATTTATCATTGTTCGTCTGGTAGACGGTAATAAAAAGACGTGATTTGTGCCAAATCATGCCTGATGAATTGATGATCTCTTAAAATTATTTACAATTTCACCCTATGCTTATAGTCTATCGAACATTTTTTTGCACACATTATATAAGTCACATGATTTTCTGACAAAATTAATACATACATAGCATGTTCCCTGTCCTAGCGAACTACATTAACGAATAAAATCAGGAACAAACTGGGATGGTGGTTAGTTATCAAAAGTTGAAGCGAATTGGACAGTTATTTTGTATCAAGTGAACTTATTTTCCGAAAATATCAGATTTGAAATCTTTAAAAGGTAGTTGCTGTGTTTCAAAACTTAAATAGTTGCCACTTTACCAAAATTGTAAAATTATGTAATGTTGACTAAGCTTTCTCTAATACACTACAGATTTTTTACTTGTTATTATATTGTGTTAATATATACATTTTTATTTTTAGCATTGGTAGATGGCAAAGCCACCCACATACCTTACAGGAATTCCAAACTCACTCGCTTATTACAAGATTCTCTAGGAGGAAACTCTTTAACTGCTATGATAGCTATGGTAAGCCCCAGAGCTCAAGATTGTGAAGAAACTTTATACACGCTCATGTACGCTGACAGAGTAAAGCACATTCAAAATCATGTTACAGCTAATGTAGAAGCTAAAAGTGTTATAGAAACTTTTGAAAACAAAATAGCAGAACTCAGAGAACAGTTAATGTTTCTTGAAGCCAGGGAGGAAAAGCTGGAGAAGAAAGAGAAAAAGCGAACCAAGAGTGCCGTGCATAATAATGAATTAGAGGATATAGAGTCTGAGAAGAGTACCTTACAAAATAAAATAAATATAATTCAAAAGAAAATTCTTGTAGGTGGGGAAAATCTGGTAGAAAAGGCTCAACAACAAATGGAACTCTTAGAACATGTAGATAAAGAGTTGCAACATTTGGATACATCACATTCCATACTGAAAGAGATTCTTCTGCACAAAGAAAAAGAAAAAACAATTGTTAAGAAAGAATATGCTGATCTTAAAGAAGAAGACAAAGCTCTGGATTCCAAACTAGAAGAAGTTGACAAGTTGATCTCTAAAGCGGTAGAAATACTGAAAGCTAAAGAAAACGAATATCAAAATGAAATTTGCACATTATTGTATAACAATAAATCTTTGGCAAAGGAAACATCTTTAGCACAATTTGTTATAAAAGAAAGCATTCCAAAGGAATATTTATCAGACCTCAAGAGTAGTATTATCTGGGATGAGAATACCCAGGAATGGCAAGTGAAAGGCATTGCCTATTGTGGAAACAATCTTAGAAGAACAGTTAGTCGTGGGGAAGTCAAGAAGAAAAACCCGGACTCTGTGTATTTGAGTTACCCGAAAAGAAGCAAACTAAAACCAAGAAATTAATTGCAGTGATATTAATATTATTTATTTCTTGAGTATTATTGTTTTATTTATATAATTTATTTTTTTAATGCTTCCCATTTAACGCTTTTTTGTTTATTAAGTTTATAAAAAGCACCAAAAAAATTTAGGCAGCAATATTTCTTCAAATATATGTTTGGAAAACTGATGCAAAAAGTACATTTTATTGTTTTATTTATAAATAATATTTTATTCTGCCTTAATTTAAGGGGGTACGTTCCCGCTGCAGTTAAAATGAGTGACATTTAAATAAACTAAAGTTTAACAATTCTTTGAGTAGATGGCAGCACGTACATAATATATTCTATTTTCATTTTCCTGAAATTTAATTTTCTCAACAGCGACATTGCTAAGAGCGATGCCAAGTACAGTTCGCTCTCAATCGACAACCTTCTTCAATGTTAGTTGATATTAGTTATTAGACCAGGTCGTATTTCTAAAAATCGACTAAATCTGGATGTGAGAGTGCATTCATATTTTTGCAGAAATGGTTAGGTCTTCAATAATATTAATTGAGTTATCCTCCCTCTCAAATAGGTAGGGAACATTGATAAACAAATATATTTAAAAATTAATCAAAATATCGAATTTTTCTACATTCCTTTGCTTATAACTTTAAAACAATTCATTTTGGAGTAAAGTCGTAACAAAATGAAATAGCGACAATTATCTTTTCTATAACATATCGCTGGTTAAAAATGTTTTAATTTATTACCTTTGCTGCAAAATAGCAATAAATAAAAAAAGAGGGGGAAACATGCATTTTCATATTTAATGTATTTCAACCACTTATATTACACTTAGGACCTTCATAATTCATCTAAAAAATTTTATACCATAGTAAAACAGTCGTTCAAATTTCATTAAAATCGACTTAACAGATTTCACATAATAATTTTGCAATCTAAATTAAAAAAAATTTAATCTTGCACAACAAAAACTAGACCATATAGAAGTTTGCCAATATATTTGCTTATAAAAACGTACTTAACCCTCCTTTCCACGGGTGACTTTCTTGTGACACAAATCCACGGGTGGGGTCTATCAGGACCAAATCTTAAACTTTGTTCATTAAAATTTTTTTTAAAATATTTTTAAGGAAACTTACTGATGTAATGTACTACCTAAATTTACCTAAATATAATATGTGTATTAATATGTATTGGTATAGTTTACTGCGAAATAACTTTAACGAAAGAGTTTATTAAAAAAATCATGAACGGCAATATACAAAAGAAAAATATATAATAATATTCATTAATAATTATATTATTAAAAAAGACAATATTATTACTCTATATACTTAAAGTAATACAAGTAAAGTCTAAATATCCAAAATTAAAATTGAAAACAAAAAATAGAGGGGGTTAAATAATGTTAATTTTGTTTCTACACAATCGTCACAACACGGTTTTATATGTTCCATTCATAACCAGTTCTTGCACAATTGGCAAAAATATCTAGTTTTTCATTTTTTACAATACTTATACCATCCCCGTTTTCCTGGGGCTGGATCATCCCTCGTCGTTTGCTCAATTCCAGAAAATTTTGCAGCAAGTAACCGCGATTTTTTCGGTATACGCATATTTAGTGCTCGTATTTTTATATTTTTCTGGACTAACGCGATTCCTACAGACTTCAGAAACAATCCACGAGAAGATCGAAATTCTTCATTCGTATTATTGGATCTTAGTATATAATACATGCATTTATAGCTGCAATATTAGCCAAGCCATAGCACAAAACAAGAAACGCCCACCCACGGGTCGGATCTGCCAGGACACTTTTACAGGTAGCGGTTGAAGGGATTCATAAAATTTCACCAAATATGCTAAAGTGTACTATTCATTGCCATTAAAAGGTACACCGAGTCTATGAAAAACATACAAAAAAAATTAAGCAATTTCAATTATAGTTGTACTGATGGACCTCACCCGTGGGAAGGAGGGTTAAACTATCTAAAGTACTTTATGAAATTGAAATCAGATTCTTTAGACGGTCTCAGGAATTTTTTAAAATTATAAACAATTTTTTGGTTTACAAACAAATAGAATATCTCGGTATCTATTAGCTTAAATTAAATTCAAGAAACGGCGTTCGAAAAGACTTGACAAGGCGTTTCTTACAAAAGAAAAAAAGTTGAATTACGGCAGTAGTTCCTGGGATATAACCGGTCAAAGTTTACCGGCATTTGCCACAAAGTTATAATAAATAGGATGATAATCTTTAAACCATTACCTCTTTCGTTCGGAGCACTTCCTCGATAAAAATTTTCATATATTCAATATATTTATATATAAAAACCATCGGTATTGCGCGTGAAAAATACCAAAAAAATTAGATCGGAGCAAATTGAATTTCAAATATCAAAATCGTTATACGTAAAAACATTCATTTTCTTGGCTTCCAATGAAGGAATTTCCTTCATCTTATATAAGACGTAATTCGGAGAGAGCCATCTAAAAAATGTATTACAAAATGTAAGAGTTGCTTTAGTTTTGTTATAAATAAATTTATGAAAATGACAATCAACCTATAAAAATCATACGAACAAGCTGAATTTTTTTAAGAATGTTACTTTGGGACCCAAAAAAATATGCATAAAAGGTTCCCAGACAGCACAAGTACGTCCCATGGACGTCCGAAGGATGTACCTCATTAAATTTCCGGACATCCCACGGACATCTGTTTACATAATTTGGACGTCCCCGGGACGTCCAATAAGACCTAATTGTTACAAAAAAGTACGCCCCAGAGATGTTCATTGGGACGTACATAGTAGAGGAGAGTGTTCCATATTTAGACATGTTCCACAATCAGACATGTTCCACAATCAGACAAAGCATGGAATTTTGAAATTCCCGCCGGAAGTTTGACGTTTTTCGTTCGGATAGTGAGGTTATACACGCCAATGTGGTAAACAAAGTTTGAACGCTGTTCTCTTGGTTTTGTGCACTTTTTAATAAAAAATCGTTTTTCAAGGTAAGTTTTTTCTATCGTTATGATATTATATGCTTTAATTTTTCTTCTGAAACTAGTATTACTAAAACAACTTTTACATCAGATTTTGGGCTATTTTGTCGGCATTTTATAAGCAAGTTTACTTTTGTAGGTTATGTATGAAGGTCACAGTTAAATTTAATTTTGTATTGTAGGTTGTGTTCCACCTTCAGACAGCATGTTTGTTCCACAATCAGACACTGTCTGATTGTGGAACACAATGCTTGTTTGGAGTGTTGTTGAAAAAGTAATTGTTTTTGTAAAAATTTAATTTATATTTCAGGAAAAATGGCTCGAGGACGTCAGCGAAAAAGCGATAAAGGGCAATTTGATGAACAATCCATGAGAGCTGCTGTTAGAGCAGTCACCGAAGAGAAGATATCTTTAAGACAAACAGCTGAAAGATACAATTTAAAATTTCAAACGGTTTATGAATATGTAAAAAGGCAAAAACAGAATCCCACCAAAGAGATGAAAATGGCTCCAAAGTATGCTTGTAGAAAAGTTTTTTCTGAAAATCAAGAAAAAGCCCTAGCCGATTACCTATTTACTTGCTCAAAAATGTGTTACGGACAAACGGTCATTAATATCAGAAAACTGGCTTATGAAATGGCAACTATTAATAATTGTAAAATTCCGGAAAATTGGCACAAGGAAGCTGGACGCGAATGGTTCCTTGGATTTATGTCCAGACATGCAGAATTAAGTCTTCGCCAGCCGGAAGGATGTAGCCTCTCCAGAGCGACATCATTCAACAAACACAATGTTGGACTTTTTTTCAAAAATTTGGAAAAAGTGTTTCAGAACCATGGAAATTTTTGCAGCGGTATAAGAATTTATAATTTAGATGAAACTGCCACCACAACCGTCCAAAAATCGCAAAAGATTGTTGCTCAGAGAGGGATCAAGCAGGTCTCTTCCTGTACGAGCGCCGAACGAGGTTTACTGGTCACCACTTGTTGTGTTATATCAGCATCCGGGAATACAATACCACCAGTCACGATTTTTCCACGAAAAAAGTTTAATCCTCGAATGAGTTATGGAGCACCGCATGGTACTTTGGGATTGGTTTCCGATTCTGGATGGATGACTCGTGAATTGTTTCCAATAGTTGTAAGGCACTTCATTAAACATACGTCCAGCACAAAAGAAAACCCTTCTCTCTTAATTTTTGACAATCACGAGAGTCATCTAACGATAGAAGGAATAAATCTAGCCAAGGAAAATGGAGTGATCATTTTGACATTACCGCCACATACTTCCAACAAGCTGCAACCCTTAGATGTCTCGGTGTTTTTTTCGTTTAAATCATTCTACAATACTACCTTACAAACATGGCTTTTAGAGCACCCTGGGATACCTGTTTCTATTTTTGATATCTCTGGCTGTGTTGCTTATGCATTTGAAAAATCGATGACGCCCGGTAATATCAAATCCGGATTTCGAAAAACTGGGATTTATCCCTTCGATAAATTCATATTTACAGATGACGACTTTGCAATTAGAAGCGTAACTGATAGGGATGGGGATCAAAACAATGAAGAAGCTCAACGACTTATGGATCCAAATCAACCATCAACATCAAGATGCAATGAAGAAAATATAATGTCAGACTCCTTAGTTTCAGTATTAGTTAGTTTAAACACAACACCTACACAAAATCACAAAGAAACTTTAGTAAGTCCACAATAATTTAAAGGATACCCAAAAGCTGAAGAACGAAAAAATCAGAGAAAGAAGAGAGAAAAAGCTAAAAGTATTATCGCCACGGACACTCCAGAAAAGATCGCCCTAGAAGCTAAACAAATGGAGCGAAAAAGAAAAAAAAAGTGTTAAGAAGAATAAGGTCGTGAAAAGAAAAGTAATGGATGAAGACTCAACAGACGAAGAAAATGAAGACGCGGCGATGCTTGTAACCGAAAGTTCCGATGATGATATTGATTTTGTAGGAGAAATCGATCCACCACCACTTCTAGATAAGCTTAATAAAGAGCCAGAAGTTGGCGATTTTATTTTAATAGAATTTATGGACAAAAAGAAAAAAATTATTACATAGCTGAAGTGTTCTGTAAAAATAATAAGGAATGCGAGGTCAAATTTTTGACAAAGTCCGTTAAGTATAATAACAGCTTCATTTACCCCGAAATAGAAGACGTCTC